GCCTCCCAGAGAGCTAGGATTACAGGCGTGAGCCACCGCGCCCGGCCTTGACTTTCCCTCTTTTAGACCTTTTTGGCAAGACTTGATTTAACAAGAAATTTTGTAACCCAATGTTTATAAATGAGAAAGCCTGTCAAAAATGGCTATAGAAGGAGGAAAAAAACCTTTTTCATAGAAAATCACTCCAGAAAAGATTGTGCTATTTTACTTTTATACCTTTCTTTTACCTCCAGAGAGAAAACACCAATATTATTTCAGACTTCTTATCATATAATTATTCAATTCAACAGCCATTTACTGAGTGTCTTTCAGTGAAAGACACTATGGTAGGTTCTTAAATATCATCCCATTCATCATCATCAGTGTCAACGCAGCAGTTATTCTTTGAAGCACAGCACCTAGAACTTCGATGCTCACTAGTCATCTCAATACCTGTTTTTACGTGACCTCTCTTAGATTCTGATATCTAGTTCTTTACACCCTGAAACTCACTGTAATATTCTTGTGGCATTTCTCCGAAAAGAAACGGTAGTACATTGCCAAATGTATCAGTCAGGTTATGCCATAGATAAATAATGTGGAATTTATGAAGCTATAATTGCATTCCCGTTTTCAAGTTGGACACTGCGTTTATATCCTTAAAACATCCCTGAAATGTCTGCGATGCACAGTGTCATCAGAAGAGTTATGTTTTACTGTGCTGGACTAAATTTCTGCACTGCCTGACCAGGAATTTGTCCTCTGAAAGGACACTGCTTGCCTAAATTATAGGATATAAAGCATTAGTGGTTGGTTAGTCATAGTGGAGATGACTTGGTCAGCTCTTGAATTAATGCTGTTGGACTCTCTTCCCTTTTCTTCCCCAGTTCATGGATCGTCTGAAGCTGCTTCTGATGCCCCTGAAGCATCAGCCTGACTTTATCTACCTGCGCCACGTCCCCCTGCGCAGGGTCCACCTGTTCACTTTCCTGCAGGTGTTGTGTCTCGCTCTCCTGTGGATCCTCAAGTCGACTGTGGCTGCTATCATCTTTCCAGTCATGGTAGGGATTCCTTTCACTGAACCTACTCCGGGGGTCATACAGATATCATGTTATTGTCATATGGAAGACACGTGGGATTTTTACGTGCGGTTCCAAATTTTTCCACCTTAGACCTCATCACTTTGATCAGTTGTAACTGAAGTTTCCCATGCGGGACGGACTTTAGAATCGGGCTCATCCAAGTTCAAATACTGACTCTACTCAGTGAACAACTTTGGACTGCCATTAACTCGTTGGTAAAATTGGGTGGTGCTACTATTGATGTTCTGAGCATCAATGGATGTTAAGTGCATAGCACAGTGCCTGACACCTAGTAGACACCAGTGCATGTTAGTTATTTTAAAATGTTAGTGTACAGTGGAGTCAACCTAAGTAAGGACAATTTCGGTTCAAATATAGAAGTGTTTGGCAACTTATGAGAAATCATCAAGTGCATTAGAAGAAATGGAGTGAAAAGTTCACCTTTTGAATTTCTTGTGGTTTGCATCATGCTAAGTTTAAAGCTAAGGCTGGACTCTCGGTCCTGGCCATGATATGTTGAGACGTAACATAAAGCAACTTACATCTCACTCTGAATCGCAAGTGAAAGAAGGGGAAAAGGAAATGCGATCGCTGTATTTGGCTTCATTATTGAATTTTATTCTTTACCATAATTCTTCCCCTCTTGCCAAAAAATGCACATACATACATTTAAAACAAGTCACAAAGACAGCCTTGGGTTCTGTCTCCTTTACAGCTTTGGAAACAGAATTTCCAAACATTTACCACATTTTAGTTTTTATAAAATTCTTCTTACGCTTAGCCAGAATTATTATTTTATTTTATGTATATTTGTTGTCGGTAATTGTTTTTTTTTCCCCCAAGGATACAGGGGAAAATGGTATGAAATACCAGTGATATTTAAGTCATATTTTTTTCTTAATTGTTCCTTATGTCTCCTTTTTATTCTTAAACTGTGTTAACTCACTGAAAAATACACTGAGTGTGAGAAATGACCCCCATTTACCTATAAATATTGTCTACATATCTACTACTTTTGCTAAAACCAGGAAAAATGAAGTTAGACCAGGATAAATTTGAAATATATCCAGTAAATCATTTATTGATTGTGCTAAATAATAAAAAATACTTTTATAAAGTGTTTTTTTTTTTTTTATCTTTTCAGAGCTCTTATTTGGTGACAAAATAATCCTGTAACAGCAGTAGGGCAGATGTTATTAATTTCTCTAGTAGGTGAAAAAACTGACCTATAGAGAACATCACATGGACAAAGACAACCATTCCTTTTGAGACAGGCCAGGACCCCTGTAATGTGCTGCGTGTCGGTTTTACTGTCGAGCAAAGACATCTTTAATGTACCCTCAGAAGTTACTCTGCAAGAACAATTCATAGAACCAAAAACACAGAGCTAAAGAATACTGGTTTTAGAAGCAATCGGAGCCCTTTGTTTTCTTCCTTTATCTGGTTTCATGATCTTGGATAATATCCTTAATGTCTCTAAGCTTCAACTTCCTCAGCTGTAAGACAGAGATATTAATAATAATATCTACTTTGCGGGGGGCTGTCGTGATGAATTAATGAGATAATATTGCCTAAGAGTTTGGCACGGTATCTGGCACATGGTTAAGTATTCAGTTCATAGTAGTGGTTGAAGTAGTCCAATAAACGAAATGGTCTGTGCATACTCAAATCCTACCTCCTTGTTAATACTTTGACGAGGTCTTAATGTACTACATGCTGTACAGATATACTTGATTTTCAAAAACCTGTATAATGTTTTAATTTTGAATCCTTAGAAATCATATGCAGGCTATCTTTTGCCTTT